TTGAATAACGATCTGTAGCGAACGAGCAAGGCGGAGCGCGTGTCGACGGGCGCGTCGTGCACTGGAACAATAGATTTGGCGGAAACCAAGGATGTGGCCGAATGTGCGTCATCAGATAAACATTCCTTATCACTGAGTTTCACCAGCTTGAGCGAAACGTGCACAAGGATACTGCCCGTTGCTGTCATAGCCTTCCTGAACCCGCCAGTCTTGGGGTAGCGGCGCCGCCCTGAAGGTGTAGTATGCTGGTTATCATCTTCCATCTTGAACAATCGAAGTGTGTTAAAGACGAGCCGCACGTGGTCTGCAATCTCCGTAACCCAACGAGTTTGGCAATAGTTCGCGGGGGGGCTTCTCACTATCGGGGATGGACCTCAGGATACTTGTCTCGACTTTCGGCATTGCTAATACACAGCTCTCGAATCCAATGTCTAGAAATCCTTGAAGCAAGGGCGCCACTGTTGCCATCATAGTCGGCGTCACCTTGTGCCGATCTTTCACCATGTGAGGAAAGAAAATGTCCGTCCAACTCCTGGTGCCTTTGAATTTTCCAACCACTGCCGAAATGTCATCTTGTTGAACACATGGGTTTGCAATCTCGCGGGGCTTTCTACTCTGAATGGACATGTGGCCAGGACAGACAAAGAGCCTCAATGTGTGCTTCAAACGTAACGGCTACGACGTGATTGTGATGTAATGGATTCTCTCGGAATGCGTCAGGCGTGGGCCCCAACCGTTCGCTCAGCGTGAACCCCAAACGCACGTCCAACGAGTACCCTAAACGTGACTTCAGCGTGAACCTCAAACGTGCGGTTCGCGTGAACCCCAAACATACGTACAACGAGGACCCCAAACGTGATTTCAGCGTGAACCCCAAAAATGCGGTTAGCGTGAACCCCAAACGTACGTTCAAGGAGGACCCCAAACGTGATTTCAGCGTGAACCCCAAACGTGCGGTTAGCGTGAACCCCAAACGTACGTTCAAGGAGGACCCTAAACGTGACTTCAGCGTGAACCCCAAACGCGCGGTCAGCGTAACCCCCAAACGTACTGTCAACGAGGACCCCAAACGTGCATTCAGCGTGAACCCCAAACGCGCGGTTAACGTGAACTCCAAACGTGTCGGCTGAATCCGCTTACCCACAGAGGGGGCTCCAGGTGTAGGATGGCGAGTTTAAGGGGCGACCTTGAGGTTGATGGGGCTTAGCGTGAAGCCCACACGCCTGTTCAACGAGGGCCCCAAACGTGACTTCAGCGTGAGCCCCAAACGCGCGGTTAGCGTGAACCCCAAGCGTCCGTTCAACGAGGACCCTAAACGTGACTTCAGCGTGAACCCCAAACGCGCGGTTAGCGTGACCCCCAAACGTACGTTCAACGAGAACCCCAAACGTGAATTCAGCGTGAACCCTAAACGGGCGGTCAACGTGAACTCCACACGCGTCGGCTGAATCCGCCTGCCCACAGGGGGGTGCCAGGTGTATGCTACCATAAATCTATATACATGAGCGACTTTAAGGGGCTATTTTGAAGTTAAGGGGCGACTTTAAGGGGCGACTTTAAAGGGCGACTCGGTACGGAAGATAAGTTAAGGGGCGATTTAAAGGTTAAGTTTAAGTTTAAGGTTAAGGGGCGGAAAGATAAGGTTCGGAAAATTGAACTTAAGTTCTGTTCCGGAAATCAAAGGGGCCCCGATCCATATGGTCCCCCTCCTCCGCCGCCTCGGCCTCTTCTGGCGCCTCTTCCCCTCGTCTGCTTTCTCTGGCGCCTCTTCCGCTTCTGTCTCCGGGGGCGCCTCTGCCCGCCACGGCGGCAGGGCCGTTCGCGTGCTGGTCTCCAGGCAGCTCCGGCTCCTGGGGCGCCTCTGGCGGTGGGAGCGGCGGCGGGGGCGCCGCATCTGCCCAGAGAGCTGGGTTGCGCAGCTCGTTTGTGCGCGCGTCAACTCCTCGTGCAAGCGCGCCACCACCGAATGCTTCGAGGAGGAGGTCTTGCACCAGCGGCTGTATGTAGCCGGTGCTGCTGTGCGCCACGGCCTGGACGACTGGCGCAAAGGATACGTACCCTGGGCCGCTGGCACCTCCCCGGGCCGAGCGTCGGTGCACGCCAGCACTTGGACAAAGGGCCCTGTCAGCACGGGCCCTGCAAGCCGCAACGTCTCTACCGTCGGCTGCCACCAGGCCTGTGTGAGGCGGCGCTCACTCCACTGCGCCCCTTCGCTTGGGTCTAAGAGCCCGGCGGCCGCTAGCAGCAGGGGCGCGTGCGCTGCCGAATTGGCGCGTGCCTGGAGGGGCGCTTGCGGTGGGGCCCAGCCGGCGAAAGGGCTGCGTTGTGGCGGCCTCGCGGCGGTTCGCTCTGGCCCTGGTGGGGGGGCTGGCGGTGGTGGCTCTGGCCCTGGCGGGGCTGGTGGTGAGGCAGAAGGCACTTCTCTGGTCCATGCGTCTGGTTCGCACAAAGCGCACCTCCATTCGCCTTCAGCCGTGCTGGCTTCCGCGGCCCACGTGCCCGGCTCTAGGCACCTCGCGCACATCTGTTGGCCGCCCTGTGGCGCGATCGTGTCGACAGCGCAACGCGCCCCGCAGCGTGGGCAAAGCCATGACTCTCTAGCCACTGCGTGATCCTCCCGTTGGTGTCTCGTGCAGCGATCTCCGGGGACATTCCACGCGGCGGTCTGGCACTTCGGAGAATTCGGGCGGGGGGCCGAGACGTCGGCAGCAGAGCGATCGGAGCAGCGGTGGCTCTTGTGGTGGTGGTTCTTCGCCTCGCGCGTAGCTCCGAAACCCATTGTAATATGGGACGGCCTGGGCGCTGGCGTCGTGGGCCGGGAGGCGGCGGTCGGTCTATGTCCACGCCCTGCGCGGCGCGCCATGCCCGTAACTCGGCGGTGGTCGGAAGTCGGGCTCGGCACTGCGGGCACGCGGTGGCTTCGCCGAGGTGGCGGGCCAAGTCGGCTCGGCAGCCCAAGTGGAAGTGGGCGCCACAGCATGCCTCCTGTGCTGGTGTGTCCCTGCCCGCCCCATGGTGCGGGGTCACTTCCTGGCAGACGACGCAGATGTTGGCATCTTCCGTCGGCGCTGGTGGTCGGTCCGGCTCCTCCCGCGCTGTTGCTCCCGCTTCTGCTGCCTCGCGCTGCCTGTCGCCGCGCGGGGCGAATAGGAAGCAAAGTTCCATCCGCCTTCTGGCGCCCTCCCGAAGACGGCGCCAAAGTGGTCCGGCACGGCTTGGGCGCCAAGCTGAAACCCTGCGGCTTGTAGCCGGAGCAGAGCCCGTGGCGGGGTCTCTTCCTGCGACGGGATTGGCGCCGCGCCGCCGGGTGCGTGCTCTGGCGACTCTGGTGGTGACGTCGTGTGTCTGGGGCGCGGTGTTCGGGGGCTGTCCCCGGATGCGTCTGGAGGTCCTGGGTGGCTGGCCTCGCCCACTCGAACGCCTCGGTGACCCCATCGCGCGTCGCGGCGGCTTTTGGAGGGGTTGCGCTGGTGCTGCTGCTCGTGGTGGTGCAGGTCGTGGTGGTCTTGGTCGCTGCCTTGTGCTGTGCGCTGGTGTTCTTGCGCGTGGTGCTGGTCGCGGTCGTGGGCGTTGTTGCCGCTGTGTTCCTCGTCGCGCTGGTGTTGCTGCGCGTGGTGTTGGTGGTCGCGGTGGTCGCTCTGCTGGTGCAAGGTGCTTTCTGCTGCTTCTCCTGCTGCGGCCGCCCGTCTGCGCACGGCTCTGGTGCGAGGGCTGGCCCTCTTCGCCTTTGCGCGCCAGGTAGAAGCGGTGGCCTCCGTTTCTGGGAGCTGCGGGGCTGCTGGTGTGAGCAGGGGTGGCGGGAGGGAGCAGTAGCATTGCATAGTTGGTGAGTCGGTCGGGCCCCTGTGCTTGCCTGTCGTGTAAAGCAATCTGGACTGTAGCACGGCAGCTGGCCTGGTCAATTTGGCAACAGTTTTTGTCGTGCGTGCATTGGCAGTAGCTGCAGTTCTGCGTTGCCCTTGTCGGCCCAGCGCGGGCAGGACGTGGTGATAGCATCGTGGGCTGCCACTGGACGGCAGTGGCATCCTCGTGTTGGCGACGCTCTGCGGTCCCCTTGCTGGCGTTGGCTCGGCAGCGTTCCTCTTCCGCTGGCGGGCGCGTTGGCGCGCGCCCGGCTGCAGGGTCGGGCTGTCTGTCTCCAGCGCCCCCACCCCGGCCTGCATCATGACGGCCGTGGCGCCCTCGTTTGTGTAGTCCGGTCTCGTGTTGGGTCCGAGAAGCGCGTGCAGGAGCTTTTGGATGCAACCTCGCGTGCTTGCTGTGGGTGAGTCGTGGTCGGTGTTGTGAGCTTGGTAGTCGGGGTGGTGGTTCGCTCTTCGGACTTTGCGCTGCCCCGCGTCGCGTGCCGCCTCAGGTTGAACCGGTCCTCGAGGTAGGTCTGCCGCCTGGAGAAAGCTTCCTGCTGCCGCATGGTCTCGGCATGTTCGTGGTAGGCGTGTGCCTCTCTGCTCGCTCGCTCCCTCTTCTCGGCGCGGCGTCTGGAACGACGGCGGTTCCTCGTGGCGCACCGAGTGGGCGAAGGCGAACACCCAGCGTTAAGGAGTCTTGGCGTTTTTTTTTCCCCCTCCGCCCAAGGCAGCCGCGTTCCCCCGTCGGCCAGTCCGAGCCCCCCCCGCGCGCCCGCGGTGAGTGCGGGGCGGGGGCGCGCCCCAAAGGAGCGGGAGGTTTTCGGCCGGAGCCGGGAGGACCTCGAACCTGCCGCGGGCGGGCCTTGGCGCAGAGAGCGCCCGCGCTGCCGCGGCGTGGCGAGCAGGCTCGCTCAGCCGCCGCCTGCAGGCCGCAGCCGCCGCGCTGCCCCAGCTTCCGCCGCCGCCGTCGCGGCCGTCGGCCAGGCGGCCGCCGGCGTGGCTGCCTCCGCCCCCGCCGCTGCCGCCAGCGGCCGCCGCTGCCCGCCGCTCGCGGCGCGGTCTGCCTGTCGCGGCCTGGCCTGCCCGCCAGCCGCGCCTGGGCCTGCGCCAGCTGCCGCAGGGTTCTGAGCAGCGCCCCAGGCGCAAGGCGGCCTAGCGCCAGCTGCCTCGCCCTCCTGGCGCGCGCTGCCTCCTTCTCTGCTTCCTCGGCCGCGCCCTCTCATTCTCCGCCTCGGCGCAGCTGCGGCGGGGGTCTGGGCGTGGGGCCCGTAGGCGGGCGCGCTGTAGCCCCGTCCCACGCCCGGGAGGTGGGGCCCGCAGGCGGGTGCGCGGTAGCCCCGCCCCACCTCCCACCCCCGTTCCGCTTCTGAGGCCGGATCGTCGCCAGCAGGCCCCTGTTCCTCTGCGTTCTTGGAGCGGGGGCCCAGGCGTGGGGCCCGCAGGCGGGCGCGCGGCAGCCCCGCCCCACGCCTGGGAGGTGGGGCCCGCAGGCGGGTGCGCGGCAGCCCCGTCCCACCTCCGGCCCCCGCTCCATTCTGGGCCCCTTCCTGGCCGTCTTCGTCGCGCTGCTGCTCGTCGCGGCCGTGGTGGTGGTGGTGGTGGTGGTGGTGGTGGTGGCGGTGCTGGTGGTGGTGCTGGTGGTGTCGGTGCTGGTGGCAGTCTTGCTGCTGGTGGAGGTGGTGGGTCGTGGTGGTGGGCCGTGCTGCTGGTGCTGGTGGCAGTTCTGCTGGCGTGGTCGTGGTGGGGTGGTGGTGGTGGTGGTGCTGGTGGCGTCGGTGCTGGTGCTGGTGGCAGTTCCGCTGCGGGTCGTTGTCGTGGTAGTCGCCGTCGTTGTGCTCGTGGTTGTGGTCGCGGTGGCGGTAGCTGCTGCGTCGCTCTGTGTCGTGGTGGTGCTGGCGCGGGCTCGGGCGTTGGTGCTGCGGGCTGTCGTCGTCGCGCTGGCTGTGGTGGTGCTGCTGCTGGTCGCCGTCTTCGCGCTGCTGGTCGCCGTGGTAGTGGTTGTGCTGGTGGCGTCGTTGCTGGTTGCTGTCGTGGTGGTTCTGCTGCTGGTGCTGTTGCTGCTGCTGCTGCTGGTCGTCGCTGCGCTGCCGTCGGTGGAGGTCGCAGTCGTCGTCGTGCTGCTGGTGGTGTTTTTGCTGGTAGCCGTCGCTAAGTTGGCGTTGTTGTCGCTGCTGGTGGCCGTGGTAGTGGTGGTGCTGGTTGTCGCCGTCGTAGTCGTAGTGGTGGTGGTGGTGCTGGTCGCTGTCGTGGTGGTTCTGCTGCTGCTGCTGGTCGTCGCGTCGCCGTTGGCAGGGGTCGCAGTCGTCGTCGTGCTGCTGGTAGCGCTTGTGCTGGTAGCCGTCGTAGTGGTCGTGGTGCTGGCGCTGCTGGTAGTCGGCCCCCGCTGCCCCTCGCGCGGGGGCCCGCGTCCTCAGGGGAGCGCCGACAAGAGGTCCCCTCGCCAGGGTGCTTCTCCGTCCGTGGCTAGCGTCTCGCTGGGCGCGTCCTCTAGCAGGCTGGCCGCAAGGGCGTCGTGAACGAAGGACAGCATGCCAGTCCACCTGTGCAGCAGCGCCGTTGTCAGCGACCCTCGGAGCGCAGCTGGCGCGCCCCTGGCCAGGGCCCGTGCCAAGACCACGAGGAACTTGCACGCTTCCTCGTCCCATCGTCCGCCCGTTTCTGCTCCAGCAACCAAGAGGTAGCTGCGCCGGGAGCCCGCGAGCTCGGGGTAGGTGGTCGCGTTGCTGCTGCTGGTGGTTCTGCTTGTTGTTGTCGCTGTAGTTGTAGTGGCCGTCGTGGTGCTGCTGGTCGCCGGCCGTGCTGCCCCTGGTCGGCGTCGCGGTGGTGGTGATGCTGGTCGCCGTGCTGGTGGTGGGGGCATTGCTGGTCGTAGTCGTAGTGGTTGTGGTGGTGGTGGTGGTGCTGCTGCTGCTGCTGTTTGTTGTTGTCGCTGTAGTTGTATTGGTTGTCGTGGTGTTGCTGGTCGCCGTGCTGCTCCTGGTCGCCGTGGTGGTGGTGGTGGTGGTGATGGTGGTGCTGGTCGTCGTGCTGGCGGGTGTGGCGCTGCTGGTCGTAGTCGTGGTAGTTGTGGTGGTGGTCCTGCTGCTGCCGCTGCTGATGCTGCGTGTTGTCGCAGTTGTGGTAGTAATTGTCGTGGTTCTGCTGGTCGCCGTGCTGCCCCTTGTCGCCGTCGTGGTGGTGGTGGTGGTGCTGCTGCTGCTGTTGCTTGTTGTCGCAGTTGTGGTAGTAGTTGTCGTGTTTCTGCTGGTCGCCGTGCTGCCCCTGGTCGCCGTCGTGGTGGTGGTGCTGGTCGCCGTGGAAGTTGTGGTGGCGCTGCTGGTGGTAGTCGTAGTGGTTGTGGTGGTGGTGGTGGTGGTGCGGCTGCTGCTGCTGCTGCTTCTGCTGCTGCTGCTGCTGCTGCTGCTGCTTGTTGTCGCTGTATTGGTACTTGTTGTCGTGGTGCTGCTGGTCGCCGTGCTGCCCCTGGTCGCCGTCGTGGTGGTGGTGGTGCTGGTCGCCTTGCTGGTGGTGGTGGCGCTGCTGGTCGTAGGCGTAGTGGTGGCGGTTATGCTGCAGCTGCTGCCGCTGCTTGTTGTCGCAGTTGTGGTAGTGGTTGTCGTGGTTCTGCTGGTCCTCCTGCTGCGCCGGCGGGCGGGCCCCCGGGGTGGGGCCGCGCCCGTTCCACCGCATCAGAAACACGGCGGCAGTCGGCGAGGGGCCGGCGTCTCCGTGTAGCGGGCGTCCGCCAGGAGGTCGGCGAGGTGCGGCTCGTCCCCGTCGACGGCCAGGGTGCGCGGCGGCAACTCCAGCAGCGTGGCCGCGAACGCCCTCTGGGCCGCGACCGCGGCCAAGCCTGTCCAGCGGTGTAGGTACGCCGCCCGCGCCGACGCTCGGAGTCGCTGCGGCGCGCTGCGGGCTCTGGCCCTGGCGAGCAGCCGGACGAAGGTCTGGGCCTCCTCGGACCACCTGCCGCCGACTTCCAAGCCCAGCACGACCAATCGGCATCTCCTTGACCCGATGAGCTCGGGGTAGGTCGCTTCCTTCCGGCCCCGCGCGACCGCGAGCTGGACTCCGTCCTCGTCCGCGGCTCTGGGCTGCGCGGTGCCGTCGGCGCGGACTGGCGACACCAGGGTCGCGTCAATCGCCAGCTGCGCTCCTCCCCAGAGCGGCAGGCCGTTCGCGATGACCTCGATCTTGCGCCCGTCGCGGGGGTCGACGCCGTCCACGTTGAGGTCTCGCAGGAGCTGATTCTCTGCGACTCGGCCCCCAGCCTCGCGGCAGATACGTGCAGCCGCTTTCTCCAATGGGATGGATCTCTTCTTGAGCACCCCTGCCCTTGGGCACGCCGCTCTGCGGTCACCTTTGGCGTCCAGTCTGCCTCTGCATCTGCAAGCGCTCGCTGCGAAGGGTAGATCAAATCGCAAGCGCCTGAGGAGCAGGACTCGAATTCTGCCGGCGGGATGTGGAAGTCCCCCGTCGTGGGCAGCGCGGTGAAGGCTCGTCCCGCGCACGGCCCGCTCTGTTGTTGTAAGTACCCGGGAGCGGCCGGCAGCGGGCCCCGGTCCAGCTCGCTCAGTGCTGCGCAGATCTGGTTTGTGAGCTCGGGGCAGCGTTCGCGGAGCATCTGCGCGCAGTCTGCCCAGGAAGCCCACCAGGCCGCCGGCGCCGTCCTGGACGCGCTTCGCAGGCCGAGCCCTCCCATGCAAAGCGGCAGTTGGCAGCGTTGGCGCGCTGACGTGCCTTCTGCGACAGCTTCTTGCGGGAGTTCCAGCAAGTCGGCGAGCGCGTTGGCCAGGTTGTCGTCGTGCGCTGCGGCGAAGGCGGCCGTGTCCTCGGGAGCCAGCGCCCTCAGGAAGAAGTTGGCCCTGGGGCTGGCGCACATGCTGAGCAGGAGCCACGAAGATTGCAGGTCCCCGACGTGTGGTATCCTCGCGAGCAAGCGGCGGTGTTCTTCCAGGATGGCCTCCAGGTGTTGGGCGACGAAAGCTCCGTGGCCTATCGGGGCCCCCAGAACGACCAAGCCCTGGGCTTCCGGCGGGGTGTCTGCTCCTCCTACCCACACCCGGTCTGCTGCTGAGCCCAGCTCTCGGATGCCAAGTGGCTCCCGCCCTCCCCTGTTCCAGACTCGCGTCTTCCCCATGTTCACGCTGATGCCGCAGTGCGCTTGGAGGGCGTCCCGCACGGCGTTGAAGAGGAACCTCGCTCTGTCTGGCGTGGTGACCAAGTACACGTCGTCAAGGAAGGCGAAGATGCGCTCCCCGGGCCGGAGTATGCATTGGACCTGTTGCAGGGCGGGGTGTTGTCCCAAGGCAAACAGGGCTGGCATGAGCGGGTCTCCTTGCTCTCCTCCTTCCGCCTGGTCGATCGCGCGCCCTTGTCCCGCGTCGTCGTGCCACCAGTACTGCGACCTTTCCCCGTAGAAGAGGCGGCAGAAGGGAAGCAGTGCGCTACCCCTGGCCAGGTTTACAAATCCTTCGAGCATCGAGTTTCTGGACATGAGGTCGAATGCCCCGATTCCGTCTATGGAAACCACCGTGGCAGCCGGGTCACCCTGGGTGAGAGTCTGCGCGAGGTGCGCCACGCATTCCGTGCCTGCTCGGGTCGAGAGTGCGAACTGGAAGGGGGCAGTCGCCTGCTCGACCTCTTCGCCCACTTGCTGCGCCAGTGTGCGGGCTACCAGCCGCCTGAAGACGTCGCCAGTCACGATGCCTCGCACCCTCCCGTTGCTCTCGCGCAGCGCCGTGAGGCGGCCGAGCCGGAGGGCCTCTGCCACGGGGCCAGGGATTTCCGCCCTCGCAAGGAGCGTGGCAGCGTGGTGCAGGAGGTCGCAGCAGTGCTCGTCGTCCAGCAGCGTCTGCAAGTGTTCTCCCGTCATCCCTGAGGGGCCCGGCGCAGCGCCCCGGCGACTCCTGCGCACGTTCGTGAGGAGGCGGTCTGGTTCCAGGCTGGCGAGGCCTTGCGGCGGCGCGCGGGCGGCTCGCTCGCTGAGCTGCTCTCTCGGCTGCTGCAGGCGGCGTGCCGGGTCCCGGAGTTCGTCCAGAGTGGCCTGTGTGCCTGGTGCCACCACGCTCGCTGTCAGCGCGTGCCGCGCCGCCGAGACCTACCTCGCCGAGGCGGATCAGCTCGCGGGCCCTCTCGCAGCGGCTGCGGAGCTCCTCGTTTTCGTCTGGCGCCCGGCCCCGTCGTGCCTCGGGCGCCCTGCTCTGCCCGTTCGCGTCTCGCTCGGGCGGCCTGCGCGGCGGGCCCGGCTGTGCTTCTGTCAGAGGCTGCGCCCAGTCTCCAGCCTCGAAGCGGGTGAGCCTCTCCAGGAGTTGCTCCTTGGGGATCCTTTGCTGCCCCGCCTCTCTCCACAAGAGCAGTCGTGGGAGCAGGAGGAACAGCTTCCACCCTCTCGCTGCTCCTGTCTCGTCTGCTTCGCCCTCTCGGATCAGCTCCAAAGCTTTGCGCAGGGCGTTGCGGAACGGCCCCCGCGCGAACGCCGGCGCCCGTTGGAGGGTTGGCACGCGGGCCCGGAGCACAGATGCTGCGTCTGTCGCGTCCAGCGCTTCCCTCTCTGCCGCCGTCAAGCGAGCGCGGGCGTGGGCGGGGCGGCGCCCCAGGGGCGCCCGGGGAGGAGCAGCTCGCCCCGCGCCCCCGTCTCGGCGGGGCTGGGCCAGCGGCGCGGGCAGCGCGGGGCCAGAGTTGCTGGAGGCGCTGTCCTCAGTGTCCTCCTCGCTCTCGCTGGCGGTGCTGCTGCTCGAGCTGCCTCCTCCCCCTCCTCTGGCGCCTCTTCCTCTTCGGCCCCCTCTAGCGCGTCGCCCTCTGCTTCCTGTGGCGCTTCCTCCTCCTCTGCCTCCTCGGCCTCTGCCTTCTCCTGGGCTCCCCCCGCTGGCGTCGTCGCTGGGCTGAGGTCCTGCTGGCGCCGCTGGTGGCGGCCTCGGCGGGCGCGGCGCGGCTGCGGCCCACCTGGCCGGGTCGCGGAGCTCGTCTGCGCGCCGGTCGACCCCCCGCGCCAGCACGACCCCCCCGAAGAGCTCGAGCAAGAGGTCCTGGGCGAGGTTGTCGATGTAGCCAGCGCCGTCCGCCAGGGCTCTGACCACAGGCGGCAGGTGCACGTGTCCAGGGCGTGCTCCGCCCCCAGCGGCGATCACGGCATATACCGCCCCTGGGCTGGCCCCTGCGAACTCCAGCCCTTGGGGGAAGGTCTCGGCCGGCACGGGGTCCGCTTGCTGCAAGGCCTCCACTGTCGGCTGCCACCAGTCGTGCGTGAGCGGGTGCGTGCTCCATCCCGCCGCCTCCTGCTGGTCAAGCAGCCCCGCCGCTGCTAACAGCAAGGGCACGTACACGCGTGAGTTGGTTCGTTCTCGTAGTGGGCCCGCCAGGGGAGGCCACCCGGCGAAGCGGCCAGGCTGCCGTTGCTCTGCGGCGGTGGGCGCCTGCTCGGGGCGCGCCAGTCGAGGATATCCTGCGTCTGCTGTTGTCGCGGGCGGCGACGGAGGGGCAGCGACCACTGGCTCCGGAAGCGGCGTGGCGGCGCAGCCCTCGCAGAGCCAGGCCCCGTGCCATCTCCACGACCCTCCTGTGGCCCTGGCGGCCCTGGCGACCCACTCGAGTGGCCCTGGCCGTCCGCAGGGGCAGCGCGGCGGTCTCGCGCCCTGCGGCGGCGAGACGTCGCTACCCAGGGGGGCCACGTCGCAGGCGCGGCATTCCCAGCTGCCCGCCAGCCCGCTGGGCCCGCGAGAGTGCCGCCACCGCAGGGGGTGGAAATGTCGCGGGCAGGCTGCGATGGCGTGCGGCGCGGGCCCTCCTGGCTGCTCGAGGGGTACTCCTGCGTAAGGGTCCGCCTCCGCCTCACTTGGCGGGCCGGCCGCGACTTGGCAGCGTGAGCACCTGCACCCTCGGGTGGGGTAGTCTCCAGAAGCGTTCAGGGATTCCACGAAGCCCGCGAGCGCCGCTACGCCACCCGGCGAGTCCCCCCACGGGCTGTTGCAAAGGGGGCATGGCGACCTTTCGGCACGGGATGCGTCACCTGTGTGGTACAAGTGGGCCAGGCCCGCCCGTGTCCGCCGATGCCTCGCTGCGCGCGCTGCGTGGAAGCGGCGGGGGGCATGGCCGCAAGCTGGCCACGTCACGGTGTCCCCTTCGAGCGGCGTCTGGCAGATGGCGCATTCCTCCTTGTCTGGCCGGTCTGGCCCCTGCTGTTGCTGCGGCGGCTGTCGCTGCTCCTCGGCCGCCTCGCGCCCTGCTGGCGGCAGGGAGAGGCCCGAGAAGTCCCACCTCCTTCCCTCTGGTTCAGGGGGCGCTGCCGGCCAGGCGCCGAAAATGCTGGCGAAGTGGTTCAGCTGCGGTGGCGGTGGCGGTGGTGAGGCCGACCGCGCGCCCGCTCGCGAGTCTGGCGTGGCAAACCTTTCCGGCGCCGACAGCATGTGCGGCGGCGTCTCCGCGAGCGCTGGTACCGGGGCAGACTCTCCCGATCTGCGTTCCGGCGTACCCGGCGGCTCGTCGGCTGGCCCGGGGGGGCCTGGGTGGCTGGCTTCACCGACCCGTTGTCCGCGGTAGCCGTAGAGCGCCTCCCGCGGACTCCTCGCCAGTGCGCACTGCTCCTGTCGTGGTGGTGGCAGTGCTTGTGCTGGCGCTGGTGCTGGTGGCGGCGCTGTCGGTCGCTGTCGCGGTGCTGCTGCTGGTCGCTGTGTTTGCGGTGGCGTTGATGTTTCTGCTGGTCGGTGTCGCAGGGTGTCGTTGTGGTGGTTGCCATGCTGCTGCTGCTGCTGCTGCTGCTGCTGCTGCTGCTGCTGCTGGTCGTGGTAGCGGTGGTGGTGGTGGTGCTGCTGCTGCTGCTGCTGCTGCGGCTGCTGCTGCTGCTGCTGCTGCTGCTGCTGCTGGTCGTCGTGGTGGTGCCGCTGCAGCTGGTCGCAGCGGCGACGCTGCCGCTGGTGATGGTTGTCGTGGTGGTGGTGATGTTGCTGCTGACGTTGCTGCTTGTCGCCGTCGTTGTGCTGCTGCTCGCGGCGCCCTTGTTGGGAGTCGTGCCGCCTCTTGTGGTCGAACATGTTGTCGCGTTGCTCCTGCGGCCTTGCTGCACAAGCCGGGGCGCCACCGGGGACCGCAGCGGAGCCGCGCGAACCCCGATGGGGAACTGGCCCCAGGGGAGTCCTACCGTGGGAATGGGGCTCTTCCCCTGGGGGGCACGGGCTGCAGCTGACGCCAGCCCCCTCCCTCGGAAGGGGCTGGAGGGCTGGCGGCCAGACGGCTGGAAAGGCCGTCTGAGGTGGCGGAGGGCCCTGCTGGCTGCCGCTGCTGTTGCTTTTGCTGCTGCTTTTGCTGCTGCTGCTGCTGCTGCTGCTGCCAGGGGGCTGCCGTCCGCAGTCGTTGGCTGCGTGCTGTGGTGCTGTGGTGGTGCTGGTCGTCACTGTGGTGCTGGTCGTTGGGTGCGTGCTGTGGCGCTGGTCGTTTGGTACGTGCTGTGTTGCTGGTCGTTGGTGTTGGTCGCTGTGGTGCTGGTCGTTGTGGTGGTTGCCCTGCTGCTGCTGCTGCTGCTGCTGCTGCTGCTGCTGCTGGTCGTGGTGGCGGTGGTGGTGGTGGTGCTGCTGTTGCTGCTGCTGCTGCTGCTGCTGCTGGTCGTCGTGGTGGCGCCGCTGCAGCTGGTCGCAGTGGCGACGCTGCCGCTGGTGATGGTTGTCGTGGTGGTGGTGTTGCTGCTGATGTTGCTGCTTGTCGTCGTCGTTGTGCTGCTTCTCGCGGCGCCCTTGTTGGGAGTCGTACCGCCTCTTGTGGTCGAACATGTTGTCGCGTTGCTCCTGTGGGCTTGCTGCACAAGCCGGGGCGCCACCGGGGACCGCAGCGGAGCCGCGCGAACCCCGATTGGGAACTGGCCCCAGGGGAGTCCTACCGTGGGAATGGGGCTCTTCCCCTGGGGGGCACGGGCTGCAGCTGACGCCAGCCCCCTCCCTCGGAAGGGGCTGGAGGGCTGGCGGCCAGACGGCTGGAATGGCCGTCTGAGGTGGCGGAGGGCCCTGCTGGCTGCCGCTGCTGCTGCTTTTGCTGCTGCTTTTGCTGCTGCTGCTGCTGCTGCTGCTGCCAGGGGGCTGCCGTCCGCCGTCGTTGGCTGCGCGCTGTGGTGCTGTCCTCCTCCTGTCTCCGACGGGCGGCCCCGGGGTCCCCGCCTCCCCTGCCCCGCCTGGTCCTGAGGCCCGCTTTTCCTTTAGACCTGGTGGGGGGCCGGCGGCCCCGCCCCCCAGGTGATCCAAATGAAATTGTCCACATTTGACTTTCTCGCTTCTGTGCATGGTGCTTGCGCGGTCGATCGTCACTGTGGTGCTGGTCGATGGCTGCGTGCTGTGGCGCTGGTCGTTTGGTGCGTGCTGTGTTGCTGGTCGTTGGTGTTGGTCGCTGTGGTGCTGGTCGTTGTGGTGCTGTGTGCTGCTGCTGCTGCTGCAGCTGCTGCTGCAGCTGCTGCTGCTGCTGCTGCTGGTGCTGCTGCTGCTGCTGCCGCTGCTGCTGCTGCTGCTGTGTTGGTCGCTGTCGCGCTGGTCTGCTGGTCGTTGTCGCGGTGGTGTTGCTGTTGTCGCTGTTGCTCGTCGTTCTGCTGTTGGTCGCTGCGGTGCTGGTCGGTGCGCTGGCGTTGTTGTGCGCGGCGCGGGGCCGTGGCAGGTGTGCTCCCCGAGTACCCCCGCTCGCGCCATCTCCTTGTCAGCCTGTGCCTTTATGTGTGGTCGTGGCGGTGGTTGGGCGTGACGCGGTTGCATGGTGGGCACGCCGCGCTGCTGCTCTCTCTGGTGGTGTTGTTGTGGCTGTGGTGGTTGTTGTTGCTGCTGCTGCTGCTGCGGCCGTTGCGGCGTCTCCTCGGCCCCCGTGGTATGCAGCAGCTTCTGGTGAAAAGCGGCCTGCAGCCGACGCTTCTCGAACCGCTCGGTGACACAGCGTCGCCGCCGCTCGGAGGCCGCGCTCAACTCCATCAGAGCGCCATGCTCAGCCACCGCTGCCTCGAAACTAGCATCCTCCTGCAACCGCGCGGCTCCGTGGCGGCTTCGGCGTAGGCGCCTGCGTGCGAAGGCTGGTACTGCAGCCCGTGGTTGCTCCTGCTGGCGCTGGTGCGTCCCCCCTGCCCTCCCCCCATCACTTCTCGCCTCGCCCTCGGCCTCATCCTCCTCAGCCTCACTGGGTCCCGTTCTCCTCCTCGGCCCTCCTGCTGCCA